GCTTGTCCAGAAATGAAGAGGCTTTTAGGCAAAGTGTAAGATCTTGATCCTATTTCAGCAGCTAAAGTGAAACAAGAGAAATCTCCCATCATCTTTCAGCATTCCCTACACAGGCCAGGGCTGATGGCCGTAACATCCATAGGGAGAGCTGAAAAGGAAACAGGTCTACCCCACACAAGCAGCAAAGGCGTTTCACTACACTCGGCCCGACGCTTGCTTCCGTGTGATGAGCCATATCAAATACAAACGAGCACGCCACGGCCCTCCACCCAACCACCGGAATTAAACTGAGCCATTTAAAATCTTTAGGATCAGCTCATCAAATTTAAAAAAAATAAATCAACAGAAGCAAAACCGGATAAAGACGGATTATATAGCTCGGTGACTTTCTGATTCTATCCATTTCAGCCCAATGCAAATTCCGTCGGTTCACTGTATTTTATTTACACTTGCCATTTAAAAAGGTGCACTGGGATTTTTAACCGTGCATTCATCAAAGAACAAATGAAAAAAGCAGACCTTCAAAAGCATTTGGCTCACCTAATTGCCAAATGGAATGATCAGCCCAAAACAGAAAATCTCTTGCAAATTGTCAAAAATGAGACACGGCAATGGCCCCTCCTTCTTATCTTAATCCTATTTAACTTATCACTCGGCAGCCATAAGTGGCTCTCCACCAGCCACTTAGGCTGCAGCCAGGTATATGTGTCAACGTGGGGGTAAGTCCTATGGAACTCAAGGCTACTGATTTAAATATTGTCTTTCAACGATGCAAGCTGCCTTGGGTCCTTTTTAAGGAGAAAGGTGGGCTAAAATATTTAAATAAATATTAAATAAACTAAATAACATGTTTGTTTATTTAAAATATTTAAACCTTGCCTTTCTCCTCAAGAGGACCCACAGTGGCTTACGATATTACGATAAATAACAAATGATCATCCGGTGTTGTCATGTCAATTCTGATGCATATTGACCCCTTTCAGGGTTTTCCAGGCAGAGAATACTCAAAAGTGCTTTACCCTTCCCTTCCTCTAGGGGCAGCCTTGGGACTGTGCAGCTGGCCCAAGGCCACCCAGGCTGGCTCTTACTCAAGGAAGTACTGTGGGGAATCGAACTCCCAACCTCAAAAGCCCTGCGCTATCCTTCCAGCACAATATTACAAGCAAACAATATAAAAACTGGAAGGGGAGGTGAAAAAACAAACGGAAACAATAAGATAAGAGCTAAAATGGATAGAAACAGAAAGTTGTAGTCACTCAACCTATATTTACTTATTTATCATTTTGTTTATTTCTTATCCCCTCTTTCTCTTTAAAGTGTTTGCACTAAAAGACAAGATTGTAAAACTACAGTAAAACCAATGAGTGTATACAAAAGTGGCTCGTTCTTAAATGACAATATTGAAACCCACCAACAGTAAGTGTACTAAATACTAAAAAGGATCAAACAGAATGCCACACTTAAAAATGGTAAGCAAAAGCTACACCAGAATATATTCAAAGCAGTCAGGTAGAACCGCTCATTTAAAAAAATCCCACTCAGAAAGCCAGGTAGCTTAGACATAAAGCTTTATGTTGTTCATGCACTCAAGTTATGGGGCTTAATATATACGCCGACCCCTTTCCTGGCCAAGCCAAAATGCAACTTCCAGAGGGCTCTAGTCTTATGAGAGAGACGCTGTGCTCCAAACCACAAACAAATTCATATATGCCTGTCATTCCTGAGTGTTTCAGCTGCCTCTTCCCACACCTTCTCAAACTCTATAATATTCTCATTTTTCAAGAGCAGTGGCGAAAACTGTTTACAATATGCCGAGAACAGCACCAACTATATACCTTGGTCTAAGGGTACAGGACATCGGCGGCTCAAACTCTGTTCCTGTGGTTCTCACGTGGGATTTCGTCCTTTTCGTCCCCCCTTACCTGGTCACCACAAACCAAGCCAACGTTTTCAAGGCGCTCCCACCCGGTCAGGGCCAAAGGATCCCAGTCCTGCTCTCCTCTGCACATTCATGAAGTGGTTCTCACGTGGGATTTCATCCTTTTCGTCCCCTTACCCGGTCACCACAAACCAAGCCAACATTTTCATGGCGCTCCCACCCGGTCAGGGCCAAAGGGTCCCAGTCCAGCTCTCCTCTGCACATTCATGAAAACAGGATCCCCCTCGCCCGCCCAAAGGCATCACTCCGCACTTGTTAACACTAAACTCATTTGCCCATTTGGGGTGAGTGTATTCAACACTGGAGGGATTCAAGAGAAGGGCGAGACAACCCCCGGTCAGATCCCCTCCACTGAGCAGGGAGGGGTCCGACTTGATGGCCTTTTAGGGACCCCTTCCCAGCTCCATGGTTCTATCTTTTACGGACCAGACCCTCCATCTGCAGAGATCCCTTTGGATCTTAGCAGCCTGTGTTGGTTCACACGACCTTAGGGTAACTTGAGCGTTCTTTTGCTTTGTTATTTAGGAATAAGGAATAAAAAATAAGCGACAGACAGACAGACAGACAGACAGACAGACAGACAGACAGATAGATAGATAGATAGATAGATAGATAGATAGATAGATAGATAGATAGATAGATAGATAGATAGATAGATAGATAGATAGATAGGCAAAGCGCTGGGGCACCTCCAAGGCTGTGACATCTTAACTCAAACTTTCGTGTCCGTTTGCTCAGACGCGCACGGACGGACACGCCGACCTCTTCTGGGCCACGTCGGCAGCTTCCCCTTACTCCCAACTCCGGATTATTTATGAACCACCCAGCGGAGTGGGAAGGGGGCTCGCGGGGGTTCCCCGCGTAACGTGCGAAGGGTGCGCCCTCAGGGCCCCGAAGGCAGGCAGGCAGGCAGGCGCCCGCACTTCGCCTGGACGGGCGTCTTACCGGCAAGGGGGGCTCGCTGCTCCAGATGACGTGCTGGTAGCCCTGGGGGGAATCGAAGGGCGAGGGGGCCCGGGCCGGGCAGCCGTCGGGGGCCTCCAGCAGCTGGGCCCGCTTCCCGCCGGGGCTGCTGTAGGTGCGG